CCGCCCACGGTGCTCTCGGGACCGCCCCGCCCAGGCTCCGCCCATGGTGCTCTCGGGACCGCCCCCGCCCCGCCCACCGCCTGGGGTCCTGGCCTCTGGCTACTGCTATAGCGCCCCAAACCTTTGGAACCCTTTCTAGCCTGGTATCTGTCCTGGACCCGCGGGCGATAGACGTGGAAGAAGCGAAAGCAGCCCCAGGCGCCCCTAAGTCTGACTCTTAGTAGCAGACTCTGGGTTCCTGGGCCGGTTATTCTGCTTTATCATCCAATCACCCGCATAAAGTGCCAGTTAAGTGCATCGAGCAGCTGCCCTGGGGGCAGAGAGGCTAAGCTGGCGGCTCCTAGGGCCCCTTCAGAGGGCCGTAAACCCAGTGAGCGTGGGGTGGGAAGGGGAAGCGAGGACAGTCACTCGCTCGCCCGCCTGCACTCCCCCCGTCCTCCGTCCCATGTCGAGCTTCGGTTGTGTAACCCACGGGCACCCTGAGAAATGCAGACTTGGGGAACTCGGAGCACCGCCTCATCTGGTCCCACACTCCCTGAGGCGGCTTGGAAGGCACTGGGGCCCCCCTGCAAAGCTTGCTTCTTCCTGGCAGGTGGGGCAGGGTTGACCTCCAGGGGGAAGGGGCTCTGGATGGCCAGACAGGAGGACGGTGGGAGGGACGCCATCCTGCGAGGAACCGCCATCCTGGGAGGCGCAAGAGCAGGCCACAAGTTTCCTGAGCACCTACTAGGTGCCGGACGCTGCTCTTTCCCAGAATAAGCCCAGGGGAAGCCCCCTTGGCCCAGCGGGCATTGTGCCTCAGTGGGCTTGTGCAACTGCACACAGATGCTGCCAGGCTTTGTTCTAGGGGGTTCTGGAGAAAAGCGAGCACAGGGCAGAGTCGGTGGCCAGGCTGGGGGGTGGGGGTGGGGGAAACTGTCACCAGTGACAACTGCCTCCAGGCCCTGCCCTGAGTTGTTGGCAGCTAGGGGAGCCCCAGGCTCCAGAAGCCAGAGTTCAGCAATTGGAGAGCCTCGGGTTGGGGAGAGGGGTCTGGGGGGGTTGATGGAGGATGTGGGGCTGAAGCCAGGGCCAGGGCAAGTGAAGGGTCACCTGGGGTTGCTGAGGTGGGTGGAATGCAGGGGGCGTGGCAGAATGCAGGTGGCTCCCACTGCCAGTTGGAAGGGTGGTTATTGTTAAGAGAAAGGTGGGGTGGCTGAGAGACCCCTGGGTGTCTAGCTTGGGGGCCTGGACCATCATGGGTGTTCTGAAACTCCTGCAAACATACGTGGGTGCTGGAGTGGGAGGCCCACAGATGCCCCAGGGCCAACAGCCCCGCAGGCCGTAGCCTTGTCCTGGGGTCATCTCAGTGGGGGGCTCATTTTCCTGAGCTGGTTGTGGCCATCTCATCTGCGCATGTCCATGTCAGAAGCTGGGGTGGAGCCGCCCTTTATCCTGCCTAGGGTGACTGTAACCCTGAGCAGTCCACAGCCTGTGCTCCACTGGTCGGGGGGCCACTTAAAGACCTGAGGAGGATTAACTGGGGAGTGGCAGGTGCAAGCCTGCCCCCAGGAGGGGGGTCAGGGAGGACAGGGGCTCCAGGCCTATGCAGGGTCGGGGAAAGGAGCATTGGAGGAAAGTTTCCAGGGTGATAGGAATCTTCCCTGGAAGATTCCTGCAGTGATGGCTTATTGGAAACTTGTGTCAAACTTCAGAGCTGTCCATCCCAGTTAATTTTACCGTACATTTTTGCTTGAAAGTTTAAAGTACTTTATTTCTTAAAAAGGAGAGAAAGCTGGGTCAGCGAGGTGCACAGGAGGGCAGGGCCACGCTCAGCCCTGGCCTGGACAGGGTGTTGGTGCTGGCAGTGGCTGCTGCTGGCAGCAGAGGAAGCAGGCCCTGGAGGGGGCCGTGGGCAAGCCTGGCAGATAAGCCGTGTCCTGAGGGCCTGTTCAGCACAGTGGGGTGCCCAGAACAGGCCACTCCACCCCCAGCTGCACAACCTGGTAGCAGCAGCTGACCTGTCACTTGCCTCCAAAGGGCCAAGATGCTCAGGGACTCGGCCTCCCTCTCAAGCCCAGCCACACTGTGGACCGTCTTAGGTGAGCCCCCGTGGGAAGGATCTGCCTTGGGCCATGCAGTGGAGTCCTGGGCCTGAGGACTGACCCAGGCTGGTGTCAAGGGAGCCCAGGCAGGGGCTGGACCCAGAGAGGGGGAGCATGCCCACCATACCAAGTTCTCCCTCAGAACTCTGAACCTGCTGGGCTGGTTGGTCTGCCAGTGACCTTTTGAGCAGCTTCCTGGAGGCCCAAGGGCCCAGACAGATCAGGGCCCAGGAGAGGCCAAGAAGCCAATCCCCGGGTCTCCATAGGGAGTTAAGTGAGAACTGCACTCCAGCTCCTCCCAGACCAGTGACTGAGGCCCCCACCTTGCTGGTCACTCATAAGCACAGCTGGGAGGGGCTTAGAGTTGACAAGTGACCCCAACAATACAGCACCACCTCCTGCCAGTGGAAGTGGGAGACTCACGTCCTGACACGACTTGGTCTGTACCTTTGGAACCAGTCCTGGCCACCACGGTAGATCTTTAAAAAGCACCCCAGTTGACAGGGGCAGAGTGCTGGGGAGCTGGGCAGGAGAGGCTCTCTTTGGGGGAGCCAGCCAAACACGCAGGGCTCCTTTCCCAGGAGCCAGGGCCCCTCTGCACCAAAGGAAGCCCTAGGGGTAAACTTACCCCTGCTGGCAGCCTTAGGAGACCCGGGCACTAAAGGTGCTCCATGTGGGTGTCAAGAGCTGCTGGTACCTTTTTTGGGGAACCAGGACCCATGCCTGGGCACTGGGTTCCAAGTCTACCTCACCCAGTTTCCCATTTCTAATCATAAAACCGTCCCTGACCCCGGCCCTCCCTGGTGGCGCAGCGGGTTAAAGCACTGCACTGAGAAGCTAAAGCCACTTCCGCATGAGTTCGATTCCCGCCTGCCCCGGAGGTGACCACATGGTGTGGCAGACCTCTCCTGACCCACCCGCTGCTCCCCTCAGCAGTGTACTTTGTCCATCTGCCTGTTCTGCTCCCCACTCTGTCTCTGGTGAAGCCTCTCACCGCCCCGAGCCTCTGGCCTGTACCCCAGTTCTGTATGCATAAATAAATAAATCTTTAAAAAAAAAAAAAAGTCCGTCCCTGACCCCAAGGGCTCCTAGGTTGTGGGATGGCGCCACCTGGTGGCCTGTCTGAACACGACAGATCAAATTTCTAAGGGACGGTCAGCTCAGGGAAAGCAACCCTTTCAGTAAGCGCAGTGTCAGCCATAGGAAACCAGGCCTTGGTGACACCTGCTGCGGAGGCAGCCAGGCAGCCCTGGGCTGCCGAGGAGGCTGTGCTTGGGCCAGACACCCGGCACTAAGGAGGACAGCCCACGCAGTGGCCCCAGTCTCCATTTCAGTACATGAGCCCTATGGCGTCCGCCAAGCCCACCGCCCAGCCTGTCCTGTGTGTGTGTGTGTGTGTGTGGGGGGGGAAGCGGAATACCCCAGAGCAGCGCTGCGGAGCTGACCCTGCAGCCTCTCCTCAGCTGAGCCAAGAGCGGCTCCAGTAAGCTCAACGTCCTCAGCCTCAGCTACCCGGGGCAGTGGGCAGATGTGTGGGACCACGTCCAGCTTCATCAGCTCTAGAGAGGGACAGTAACTGCTCAAGATCAGGCAGGTCAGCGAGGGGGAATTGTTAGGGTTCACTCCCCAGGAGCCAGACCAGCCAAATGTGTTTCTGCTCATCACCGCTCTGGAACAAAATGTTTCTTCCTGGACACCTGACGCACTGTTCTCACCCGTCTGTCCGGAAACCCATCTCTCCCCAGGCACCCAAGCCCCTGTGTGAGGGCCGGAGGCGGGCAGCCACGTCCAGGCGAATCAGTGTGTCTCTGGCCGTGACAGGGCGCCGCTCTGTGGTGTCTCTAGCGACCACACATACGAGGCTCAGCCAACTGCCCGCTTCCGCCCATTACTTTCAGACTTTGATCAAAAAAGGGGTGGTCTTGTCTTACTTGCCCACTGGGACACCCAAGATGAGGGGTGCAAGGAGAAAGCAGCTTGCCCCACCCCAACCACGTTTCCCTTCCACGCTCAGAGACAAAGCACAGGCCAAGAATGTCTGAATCTTTAATACAGCCAGGCCAGCACGCCGCTCACTTCAGCTCCTTCACCGCCAGACCTAGGGGAGAAGAGACACAGTGAGTCTCCAACAGCCACGCGTCGGTGCTGCCCCTCTGCAGCAGCACCCCAGCTCCAGTGTACCCCAAATGCTCACGAAGGAGCCCACCAGGGAGGTTTTCCTTAAAGGCCTAAGTCTCCAGTGGCAGACACAGTCAGACCCGGGGCCAACCCCAGGGTGACCACGCCCTGGCCAGCCGCCTCCGGATCGCCCCCCCACCCCCGCCCTCCCCTGCACCCCCAACAGACAGTGCTCCACACAGATGCACCCTGCCGCAGGCTCACCTGGGGGCAGGGACTGCTTCAGCTTCTCCGCCTTCTCTTTGTCTGTGATGACCAGCGTGTACAGGTACCGGCTGCACCGCACTTTAAACTTCACGTTATCCTTGTTCTTCTTGATCTTGACGGCTGGAGGAGCAGTGGGGAATCAAGCACTGCACCCCAGAAAACTGCCGCAGGTGACACAAGGAAGCAGCGCTGCCCCACCCTCTCCCCAGTAGGGAAGGGCAGTGGGGGCACCCGCACCTCCAATGAGCAGTCGGGCCTGGCACGGGCACAGCACCCCCGCCTGGCTGCTAGCAGAAAGTCCTTCACAGCACAGGGGGATGGCGGGAAACGGGGCGCCTCAAAGCCCCCTACTTCTGGGATGGGTTCTCCAGCGAGGCAACCCGGGTGTCGGGCTTACCTCTGGTGGGATCCCCCTGATAGCGTGTGAAACCCCCCTAAAAACAGGTGGAACCCACTTCCCAGGCACTTCTCGCTGCCCAACCCAGGACCACGGCTCCACACGGGGGGCTCCAGGCAACACCCCGCGAACAGCCAGGCCGTGTCCCCATGCGCCTGTGCTTCCGTGGGTGCTGCTGCCCCAGGGGCTGGAAGACATCGCCCCCAACTCAGACCCGGACGAGCAGGCGGAAGGAGAGGTGCCCACCACACAGGGCCGCCTGGCCCAGGAGTGCCCGCTGCAATGAGCCCAGAGGCCAACAGGCTTCACCCAAATCTCCTGCCTGCGCCTCTCATCCTGCCACCCAGTGGGGGCCGCGGACAAGCGGAGCGCCTGCAGCTCACCAACGCCTGCACTGAGCCGGGACCACCAGCGGCCGCCGGCAGTGCCTAGGCCCAGGCTCGGGCCGAGGCATCCCGGGCAGAGCCCGCCCCATGTGCTGCGCCAGCCCCCACCCGAGGGGCGGCGGGGTAGCCCCGGAGGGCACCGCCCACCAGCAGAGCTGGGACTTGAGCTCAACGGTGACCCGACTGCGACCTGGACCAGTCACAGATCACCTTTCCCGCTTTACCAGAGTGTGCCGCACCTGCCACCTGCCGCAGGCAGCCTGCGGGTGCCCACAACGGTCGCCCTGCAGCAGGCCGGGGGGCACCGCGCTCGGCCGCGCCCTCCGGGGCACTTACACTTGGCGTCCTTTCGCCGGGCCGTGAGCAGAAAGTCCTTGATTTCCTCGATTTTGCGCGGCTGCAACGCAAAGGAAACGGGCAATGAGCCGCGGAGGGCAACGACGGGCACGCCCGCCGGCCGCTCGCGGGGCTCCGGGGACCCCTGCAGAGCCGCGCCGGCCCCGACGGGCGGTCGCAGGCGGCGGTCGTACTCACCATGGTTGCGGGGCGTGCTGGACTGCGCGGCCGGCACCTGTGGGGGGACGGGGCAGGCCGTCAGCGGCGCGGGGAGCCGGGAAATGCCGGTCTCGCCGCTCTCCCACCGCCTCCCCTCTACCTTGACCCAGGCCCAGGGGAACGCCGCGTCCCGCACCCCACCGAAATGCCGGTCGCACCGCTCTCCATCCACCTCCCCCTCTACCTTGACCGAGGCCCATCGCCCCCAAATGTCGCCCGGCCATGGATTAACCCGGATTAGGCTCCGACCCACGAATACCACAGAGAGACACTCACAGCCACTGCAGAGAAGCAAGGAGGACGGAAAAGAGAGACTTCCGTTTCCGGGAGGCTAAACGCTACCGCCGGCAGCCTGAGTACGGTGTCTGCGAAGGGTCAAGAATGACATAGGCGTTCGCCTTTCCCAGTGCAGCATCTCTGCCCCCTTCTGGCCCAAACTGATAATGCAGCTCCGCGAACCTAACTGGCCACCTCCGGGCTCCACCGCGTCAGCCCCCCACAAACCCCAGCTCAGCCCCCCACAAACCCCAGCTCGGCGTTGTTAGCAGCAATTTGAAGACCGAACACGTGCTGCTTACTACTTTTATTTGAACTGTGCATGGGGCCTCGACGCAGAAATTTCCTCACCTAATGGAAGGGACTGGCCCTTGTGGGCTTGAGCGCCTGTCCAGGGTTCCTCACGCGGCTGGCGGCCTCCTTTCCCACCGACCACTGATCTGTGCAGGACTCTTGTTCTTTCTGTTTAATGGCGCTTCCCCACTTCCTGCTCCCGATTCCTTTAGGAACAGGTGTAAATAAAAACAAGCCAACACCTCTAATGGCAGAGGTGACCCGGGGAGCATAGTGACCTCTGGGGCCCCTGTGACAGGCGGCTCTGTTCTTAGAAGGGGGGGACGAGTCTTGTGGGTGCTGGGACCCCCCACCGCTGTCCAGAGTCCCAGCCGTGGCTGAGGGTCCCCAGGGGCAGCAGCGGGAAGGCGGCCATTCCCGGCTCTCGGCTCTCCAGCCTGCTCCCCAAGCTTGCTAATACTTCCTCAGCATATGTTTATCCTCGACTCTCCTGAACCGGCTTCTCGGGGAGGCTTGGGGGAGCCTATACTTATCGATTTTATTCTTATCCTCCACTTTTATTTTATTTTATCCTCTCTACAAGTGTCTACATTTTATTATATTTGTTTCCCCCGAATTTAATAACTCAGCAACAGGATGCAATTGCCCAGTGTGTTACACAGAGCAGCGCACAGAGCAGAGCCGGAGCCTCTGAACTCGTGCTCCCCCTCCCTCACGCCCCCCTTCCTTTTCTCCCTCCAGCCCAGCCCAGGGGAGGGTCTCCCTCTGGGTGCTGGCGAGGACAGTCCTCGCCCCCTCCCCCCTGGGGGTCGCCAAGCCTGCTAACTGTACTAGAGAGTCTCAAAGTACTCAAGGCGGGCTTTTGCAATCCCAGAGGCATCCAGGTGCTGATAATGGGAGCCGCTAACGGGTACGATCTCAGGAGTCTGAAGGTCGGGGTACAGCCCCCAGCTCTGCCAGCCCTCTGCCATCTCTCGATTGGTGTCTTTCCGGTCATTCTGTCCTGCTCTGACCACCCCTTCAGCCTCCTGACTCCAGGCCCTCGGGACCAAGCCCTGCCCGTCCCTTGAGCCCACTGCCAGGGGGCAGGACCCTTCCCTCTGCCCCCACCGGTCACTCAGGCAGGAGTTACCCAGCACCCTTCTTGATAGACCAGGCGGCGTGAAATGTACACATTTGTACCCACTTTTCTTTGAAGGCAAGAATGGGGTGCCAGTTCCAGACAGGCAGCCCTGAATTGTACCTGTACCCGGGTGTGGGATGCTGTCGACGCTCCCTGTGGGGTTGGAAGCGCGTCTGGGCGCGCTCACCCTGTGAGGGGAGGAGCTGGCTGGACGCTGAGCGGTGGGAGAGGGGAGGAAGAAATGGAGCTGGGGGGAAGAACGGTGGTGGGGGTGACGGACCGACGGGTGAGGGGAGGTGGACAGACCGGTGAGGGGAGATGGAGGACAGGTGAGGGGAGGTGGACAGGTGGGTGAGGGGAGGTGGACAGGCGGGTGAGGGGAGGTGGCGGACGGGTGAGGGGAGGTGGACACAGACTGGTGAGGGGAGGTGGACACAGACTGGTGAGGGGAGGTGGACAGGTGAGTGAGGGGAGGTGGACAGGTGAGTGAGGGGAGGTGGACAGGTGAGTGAGGGGAGGTGGACAGGCGGGTGAGG